CGACAGCAACTTGTCTGTTCCCCTTCCCCCAATTCCCCAGCACTGTTCCCATTCCCCCAATTCCCCAATAAAAATCTTTAAAAAAAAAAAAACTGACATAAGTAATGACACAGTTTGTCTTATGACTATAATATTTGTCGTGCTATGGACTACTTGGGTTTAAAAGTTAGCATAATAGTGCCTGTAATTATGATCATGTTTTTACATCAATAACCAGTAGTGAAGACAGAGGCATTTCTTTGGGTTCTAGTCAGGTCAACACTGGTGTAAATCAGAGGTCAGCAGAGTTTTTCTGTAAAGAGCCAGGTTGTGAATATTTAATCTTGCAGGCCAGATAGTCTCTCTGGTAACTCCTCAACTCTACTGCTACAGCCCAACAAAACCACAACAGTACGTAAGTGAATAGACATGGTCGTATTCCAATAAAACTTTATCTACAAAACAGGTGGTGGGCTGGATTTGGTCTTTAGTTTGCCAACCACTGGTATAAACAATGACAGGTCAGTATCTAGTGCAAAATGATACTTAATCCTTGAATGTGTCCTAAAATTCCAAATAGTGAGCAAAAAATATTGCATAAATCAGTGTAATTTTACTTTCCTACAGTACAGGAATCACAATTTCATATTCAGTGAATTCAGTATACAGTTGAACCAATTTGTCCGTATATTATCAAAATCTGAGAATCACTTACCTGTGTATAATCACCAAAAGGTGGAGAATAAGCAATGCACTTTTCCAATGTCTGTTGTGATTCATTTCCCTGAGAGATTGCATCCAGAATGTTGCTTGCAATTCCAGTCTTCTGTAGAGTGGTTTTGCTTGCAGGAGCTAAAGGCAAAATCAATACATATATTTTTAGTTATTTTAGTTAGTTTGTTCTAGTATAAACTATAAACACAGTACAAAACTCAGTAATTCAGCATATTTTCAAATAGAACACAAATTTTAATTTGCCTGTATGTATCTATATGTATTATCCCCAGGGGGGAAAAAAATATATATATATATAGTATATGATATTGTCATTTAAAACAACTGAAAATTAAAGCTCGCCCTATGGCTAAATAATTTTGGTGGAAACATTTAAAATGTATGTCTAATCTCTAAAACAAGGCATACAAAATGTAAATTAACCATTCCTGTTATTGCAGTAGTTGTAACCATCAATTTTTAGACCAGATAAAAATATAGTAGGTATAGCAGAAGCACATTAGAATTTTTTCTGGCTGTTAAAAAAAATTTACAAATTACTGTTTAAATTCAAGAGGATACTTCATAAAATACCTAGAATGCATGGTAAAAACAAAATTCATCTTTCATTTCTTTTAATTCAATCCTGTTCTTTAACCCAGAGGCAACAGTTTAGAATTTATTTTCCAAATTTACTTTATGCATTTACACATTCAAACATGTACATGTAAGAATATACAGCTTTAAATAAACATAAATAGAATCCCTTAATGCATACATTTGCTTTTTCCACTTAATTTGCTTTAGAGATCATTTCATATTAGTACACATAGCTCTCCCTCAATTAATAAAAAAAAAAGTTGAATAGTATTCCAGTTAATGATGAACTGTTTATTTAACCATTTCCCTATGGATGAACATTAAGGCACTTCCCAGTTTTTCACAACTGACAACCAACGTTCTAGTAAATATCTTAATGCACTGAGCACATATTTGTCATTTCCTCTTAAAATTATATTTGAATTAATAGTTAATTTACACTAATTGAAGGTCTGAGGAGATCCTCCAAAAAAGTAAGTGAGACTCTCACTTCTGCTAATTATTAGTAGCTCATATATTTTTGGTATATTTTGTAAATACTCCAGATGTATTATATTACTAGAAGTTTAAACCTCCATCTTAGATATATGATTCAATATGTAAAAAATTATATTATTGCCAAATAGTTTCTTTGCCTCTTTATTTTAAATCATGACAATAACAATTCAATAAATTGATTATATTCTTAAAATATTGTAAAAGATGTTTTCCTTAAATAGAATAATGTATTTTATGTGTCTTAATTTTGGTTATTCTTCCAATTTAAAGACTGAGGTCATAATTTAGGCTTTAATCAGTCAATAGGAATTATTTGATTCAAGTTAAAAATTAAAATAAAACCCATTATATTATTGTAAGTATTCAATAAAACTCCAAAATATTAATACTGAGTTCTCACTTACACGATAAGCACACACTGGGCAACACACTTGCCAAATTCAAGTATGGATTTTTACTGAGCCGAATTTCTTTTGGTGGTTCCCCCAAGAGTGAAGTCTGATTCTTAGAGGCGGCCTATTTATCAAAAACAAAAGAGTGGGTGCTTATTAAAAAGCACAAGAAAATAAAAATGCAGAAGGAGTACAGAAATACTTATTCTTCAATAAATCTAGTCTGGTGTGATAAAAAATTTGTGAAACATAATGTTTGGAGATATAGTTATCAAACATTTCTGGATATTGGTTAAAATTATCGTATTCCACCTGCTATTATTTTTTTCAATTAGTTAAAAAAAAAAAACTATTCTAGAACCACAGAACTTTAGAATTGAAAGACAATTAAAGGTCATCTCGTACAACCTTTTCATTTGAACCAGGAGAGAATTCATCATAAGGAAAACCAAATCCCATTCCTTATTTCCAGAAATAGTTATTAACATTCTTATAAAAAGATACATTTAGTAAGTATTAGAGCCGAGTCTCCAACACTTTAACAGTTATATTATATTGCCCAGAATACTGCTGTATTAGTGATTATCTAGTAGTGAATGAGAATCATTTGTAAAATTTAAAAAATAAATAAATACAGTGTCTCCCAACATCAACAAAAAAGCCACGGACCAAATGGCTTCAGTGGAACGCCAACCCTCCCCACACTCTTCCACAAAATTGAAGAAGAATCAATACTTCCTAACTCATTCTATGAGACTAGCATTGCCCTAGTACGGAAGCCAGACAGATACTACAAGAAAAGAAAGCTACAGACCAATATCCCCTGTCAATATTAATGCAAAACCATCAACAAAAGACTAGAAAATTGGGCAGATTAATAGGGTTATACACCATAATCAACTGGGATTTAATCCTAGAATGCAACGATAATTCCACATACAAAAATCATTCACTATAACATATCACATTAATAGAATGGAGAAAAAAAATACATGATCATTTCAATTGATGCAGGAAAAGCATTTGACAAAATGCAACATACTTTCATGATTAAAATTCAACACCTTCAAAAAGCTAGGAATAGAAGGAAACTAACTACCTTAACATAACAAAAGCCATATAACAAAAAGTCAACATTATACGCAGACTGAAACCTTCCCCTCTAAGATCAAGAACAAAACAAAGATGCCTTCACTACTTCTGTTCAACTTAGTACTGAAGTTTCTAGCTAGAATAATTATGTAAGAAAAAGAAAGAAAAGGCATCCAAATTGGAAAGAAATTAGTCTCTGTTTGAATTAGTTGTACTTCCATATACTAATAATTTTTTTTTTAAGATTTTATTGTGGAATTGGGGGAGGGGAATAGTGTTGGGGGATCAGGGAAGGGACACAGACAAGTTGCTGTTGTTTTGTTCTTCAGTCTAGTTGTGGAGGACGTCGCTTCACTGGCCCATGTTGGTATTATCATTGCACTCTTCCCGGGTGAGGCAGATAGGTTGCCAGCTTCTGGACGGCCACTCATGGCGGCTCTTGGCAGCTCACATCAGCTGCCGGCCACTCACACTGGCTGCTGGCTAACCAACGTGCCACTCGGCCAGCCCCCTAACAATTATTTTTTAAAATATTAAGAAAAAATCCCATTTACTATACCATCAAAAAGAACAAAATACTTAGAAATAAATTTAAGCAAGAAAGTGAAAGATTTGTATACTGAAAAGCATAAGACATTGATGAAAAATTGAAAAGGACTCAAATAACTAAAAAGATATCCTGTATTAAAAGGATAATATCCTGGAAGAATTAATATTATTAAAATGTTCATACTACCTAAAGCAAACTACAAATTCAATGCAATTCCAGTAAAAATTTCAATGGCACTTTTCACAGTAATAGAAAAATAATGGGGGCCGGCCGAGTGGCGCATTGGTTAAGAGCTGGCTTGGGACGCCAGAGGGCCCTGGTTCGGATTCCACATACGAGGGCCAGTGACAATGCCCTTTACAGCTAAGATGCTGAACAACAGCTCGACCTGGAGCTGGGCTGCCGTGAGTCGCCGGCGATGGCTTAGGCTGCAGCCCCTACTGCAGTGGGTTGCCATGGGCTACCGTGTGTAGCCAGCAGCCAGTGTGAGCAGCCAGCAGCTGCCGTGAGCGGCCGTCCAGAAGCCAGGGACTGATCTGCCTGGCCCGGGAAGAGCGCAATGATGGTGCCAACTTGGGCCAGTGAAGCAACGCCCTCCACAACTAGACTGAAAAACAAAAGGACAGCAACTTGTCTGTTTCCCTTCCCCCAATTCCCCAATAAAAATCTTTAGGGGCCAGCCAAGTGGCTCAGTTGGTTAAGAGCTTGCTCAAGAGTTTGAGCTCTGAGCAACAGCAGTTCGATGCCCGGCCCGAGCTGAGCTGCCGCTGAGCTGCCAACAGGTGGCAGGATGGCTCTGCTGAAAAAAAAAAAAAAAAAGGAAAAATAATGGTAAAATTTGTATGGAACTGCAAAGTACTCCAAATGGCCAGGGAAATCTTAAGAAAGAAACAACCTGAAGGCATTCCACTTACTTATTTCAAACTTTAGCACAAAGCTATAGTAATCAATGGCAGTGGCATAAAAAAAGGCACATTGATTTATGGAACAGAATAGAACCCACAAATAGGTGGTCAACAAATTTTTAACAAGGGTGCAAAGAACACACACTGGGGAAAGTATAGTCTCTTTAATAAATGGTGCTGAGAAAAGTGGATTTCCACAAGCAAAAGGATGAGATTAGACCCTGATCTTACACCATACACAAAACCTCAGTCAAACTGGACTAAAGACTTAAAAATACGACCTGAAACCATAAAACTCCTATAAGGAAATATAGGGGGAAAAGCACCTTGACATTGGTCTTGGCAATGATTTTTTGGCTATGACACAAAAAGCATAGCCAACAAAAGCAAAAATAAACAAGTGGGATTAAATAAAAATAAAAAGCTTCTTTACCACAAAGGAAACCATTAACAAAATGAAAAGGCAATCTACTAAATGGGAGAAAACGTTTGCAAATCCTGTATCTGCTAAGAGGTTAATATACAAAATATATAAGGAACTCATACAACTCAACAGCAAAAACACCCAAATAACCCAATTAAAAAATTAAGAAATAGAACTACCATATGATCCAACAATTCCATTTATGAGTATTTATCTGAAGAAAACAAATATACTAACTCAAAAAATTATCTGCACCCCATGTTCATTGCAGCATTATATACAATCGCCAAGACATGGAAACAACCTAAGTGTCAATCACTGGATGAATAAAGAAAGAAAATGTGGTACATACACACACACACACACACACACACACACGTGGGGTATTACTCAGCCATAATAAAAAAAGGAAAATCTTGCCAGTTTCAACAATATGTGTGGACCTTGAGGGCATTATGCTAAGTAAAGTAAGTCAGAATGAGAAAGATAAATACTGTATGATCTCACTTATATGTGGAATCTAAAAAACGAAAGACAAGCTCATAGATACGGAGAACAGATTGGTGGTTGCAAGAAGAGGGGGTTCGGGGGGCAAAATGAGTGAAAGGAGTCAAAAAGTACAAACTTCTAGTTATGAGATAAATCACAGGGATGTAATATACAATCTAATGACTATAGTTAGTAATACTGTATTGCACATTTGAAAGTTGCTAAGAGAATGGATCTTAAAAGTTCTCATCACAGGAAAAAACTATTCTGTAATTATGTATTGTGACAGACATTAACTAGACTTATTATGATCATTTTGCAATATATACAAATATCAAATCATTATGTTGTACACTTAAAACTAATATAATGTACATCAATTATACTTCAATAAAAAATTAAAAAGATAAAAAATGCAGGTCTAAATTCTAACACTGAGTCAAACTGACTGTTTAACAAAGTTCAAAATCTTGCTACATATTTGGAAAACATACCTTGAGGTTACCTTGTCCAACCTCCTATTATCAGGAAGAGGAATCACTTCTACAACAATCTGTACAGATGTTCACCTAGGGTCTGCTTAATTGCTTTCGGTGATTAGACATTCACATCTCTGTGAAATAGTCAAACCTCTATTTGGTTTGAAAGCTTCAATAGTTCTTTGCTCTGTTAAGCCTAAATCTGCTTTACTGTATGTCAAACTTATTTGACTAGTTCTGCCCACTGGAGAAACACAAAATACCATGGGACTAGACTGTGAGTATTTTTTTTTAATGTATATCCAGCTGGTCATCCCTTTCCAAGTTCCATATATACATTTCCCTCAGTTCTTCACAAGGCTTGTTTTCCAGACCCTGCCTGACTTTGACTGTCTTCCTGTGGCCAGACTCTATTTACCCATTATGTGAATCACCTCATCTCCAGGTTTTCCAGAGGCCCTGGTACTTTCATTTAATATGAATTAAAGATTCTGTGCAAAAAATTAGAGGATTCATACATGAGTTCTAATAACCTAAGCAACTAATACTGCAAATACATTTTTTAAAATTGATTTTATGAAGAACTGCCTTAGCTTTCCCGTTGTTTAATTGTAGGGCATTCTATCCATACTTCCTGCTTTGACTAGGAGACACAAACCTCTTAAATTCGATATTATTTTCACATTTCAACACAACCAACTATATATATTTTTCCTCGATGCTGCCTACAGCCTGAGTTTTACACCATTTACAAATCAAAGGGTATTTTAGGGTACAAATAAAGTAAAAATTAAATGTACTTTACCTACCAAATGTCAGTGGTTTCTGACCCACTAAAATAACGGGTAAAAACTTTCAGAATTAAAATGGAGATTAGAGTATTTTGGACAAGCCAGACTGTAATAACTGATCTTGACATCTTTCAGATAAAATATTTTAATATTAAAATATTTTAATATTTTAGCTTCAGAATTAGCTATAGAATATACATTTAATTAGCCACAGAATATACATTTAAAACACAAAAAATGAGTAATTTTAAAGAATAGCATTATTATTTACTTAGAAAGCCTTATAAATTTCATTATATAATTAGGTATGTATTAATGAGACTCCTAAGCTTTTCCAAAGTACAAAATTTTGAACTTAGTTTTTATATTTTATTTTTTAAATATCAAGTATTTTGAAAACATGCATATCTCAAACTTTTTAGAAAAGCAAATATTTATAGGAATAAAAATATTATATTTAAGTTATTTTATAATAACACGCTTAAATACATTTTACACAAATTAAAATTATTTTATTTACAAACTGGCAAGTAATTAAGCATAGTCCCAAACATCAGCTGGCATAACTTTTCAAAACATGGATTTTTGTTTGTTTATAGTAACAGGGTTTAAAGAGTACAATATTCTCTTCTATTTTGAGAAATGTACACTATGAAAAAGTCAGCATTGTCACTGACATCGCAACTATCTAGTTTGTAATCCATATTTATATACTTTATATTAACTTCCTTTGAAATTTAAAAATAGTTAAGATTATGTTATGATACTTGATAAATTATACCACCTGTAAAATAACCAAAAATTAGAATACTCTAGAATTAGAATGATCTCCTTTAAGATCTAATTTTAAAAACATATATGTATTCCCTATAGTATGTATATATAAATGTAGTACACACATTAGTGTGTGTACATGCACATATATATACACATACCTACACCTATGTGTGTATATGGGTCTATGCGTGTGCATGCATGCGTGCACACACACAGTTTTCTTACCCCTGAACTTATCTCCGTGCCTTTTGGCTGACTTTGCTGTTGCTTATGGTGTCCTGTCAGCACACCTCCAGTGGTAAGGTTCGGAAAGCTCTGCAGATAAGCCTGTGACCCTGAGAAATTTCCTTCTGCCATTCCCACAGAGGCTGGCTGTTTCTCCTGAGTGTTCCCGTGACCTGGCCCAGCTTGTCCAGTAATGTGCTGATTTGGAAAGAATGGTAACATGCCCATTCCAGCTGTGATAGTTGTTTGAGTTGGAATCAGATTAGATGCTGTAGTGAACCACAAATGCAAAAAACTTTTGGTTAGACAAGGCTTACTCACAACAGTCCTTTTGATTTTGCTGTTACAGGAAAAATGCAGAGAAACTTATCTTTTTCACTATTAGAGAACAGTTCAATTCAAAAAGTGACATTAAAAGTTGTAAATTAGCAGGTTCCTGTATGGAAGAAATAACACCTATAGTAATCATGCTTTTTTTATTTTCAACAATTTCCAGAATAATCTCAAGAATGTTATATTCTTTACTTCTAAGTTTTAATTGTGTATTTTAGAAGTTAAGAGCAAAATTTATGTACTTTTTGGCATCTGAGTTACATCAGTACCTTTTTAAAAAAAATGTCCAATCATTGTAATTTGCCTGCTTCCATATTTAAATGAATAGCCTTCAGTTTAAAAAACTCTTTGACACTTAAAAATTGACGAATTAGATTAAATCCAACAATAAATTTAGTCAGCATGAGCTCGTATCTCTTCCCAGCTCTCGAGTTCAATGTCTTCACATTGGTAACCTGACCATGGTTGGAGTGTTTACACACAGAAATCCACAAATTCTACAAATCGAGACTTTTTAACCTAGAGAGCTGATTTTTAAATATCAGCACACCACTGGTTTAAAAAACTATCAATATTTGTGACTAGATAAGCACCAAATTTAACACACAAAAGTTTTACATTTCTATTTGTAGGGAATAACAAGAAATTCAGAAAGAAATGAAAGTTTTAATTGGAAAATTCTGAGCCATTGAACTTTTAAAAAAACTATAGGACAAAATTGATGAAAAAGAGCTAATTTTGGTAACTACTTTAAGTAAAATTTACATTTTACAAATTAAGTAAACAAATTCCTTAAATTATTTTTAGTACTTTATATTTAGAGATGGATACTTTTTAATTCTATCTTTTAGCGATATATTTTACTTGGACACTGAATTTTCGGTGTTCTTAATGCAGCACATGCAAAGCTTATTATTTCAACACGGTTTATTATTTAATCCAACACAAATAATAAACATTTGCATAAGCTTTTTGGCATATGAAATTTAATTTTTAGGACAGAGCCCATCATACCATAAAAATTTCTACACCTGTCTGTATACTGGTTTAACTTTTTCCCCACAGTCAATACCAACAGTCAGAGTTGATTTAGTTATTTGATCATTTGACTTGTTGGTTTTATGTCCAAGAGGCTAAATGTGTCAGCCATACTTTTTTAAATTTTATTACTGGTGACCCTTCTCTTTTCCCTCGGCATGCTGACTTCGAGCAAATTTCAATTAAACTTCAAACTGAAGTGTCTTTCAAAATCATATTCAAACAAGAAATCACGGTAAGCACCATGCTCCTATTTTTCTTTTAAAAAAATTGTACACATATTATTTTTCTTCTAATACGAATTTGGAGATCACATTTTTTAAATGACACAAATAAATAATCAAACTTTAAATTTACAAATACCAGATATTTATTTATAAAAGCTCAGGGTTTCTTATCCAGGCAAAAATTAAACAAATACCTATGTAACGTGCTATCAGCCCAGAGGGCAGCATGTCAGTCTCAAATGGAGCTGTCTTTACCTCATGCTGCTGCGAACCTTCATCAAATATTAAAGTATATCCAACAGGGAAAGTCTTGGCATGGAAGCAAGTCCATCAATAACTTATCAATAGTTACCTAATGTTAAAAATAGAAAAGCCAAGAGGGCTCTTAAAATTTTAAATGCGTGAATAAAACTCAAATTTGACCTTCCTGTAAATGTATAAACTCTTTAAATCTCAAATCTGTTCCCCGACATCTCAGTAAATACGCATCATTTACTTTTATGTGCTTCTCCATGACGACCCAGCTCGGTTTTCAAGGGAAGCGTTGACCCCATCCCCACCGCAGTCTGCAGTACCATAGCTGGGGGCTCTCCAAGCAAGCCCGGTTTCTGCAAAAGAAGAAAAGAAAGTCAGACTTTTGCCTATGGCAGCAGGATATTACCGAATAAAAAGGCTACACAGTGAAAATTTACAATCTGACCAACAGCCTGATTATAGAAAAAAAAGGAACTCATTTCAAAGGAAAAACATAATTCCATACTTACATTATTAGTATGAATATTCTCAAACTTCATTAACTGTTGCTGTGCCAGGGGTACATGGGAAAGACTTTGAACGAATAAATTAGAAGTATTACCCATAATTGAGCTCTGTGAAAATGACAGAACATTAAGTTAGTTTAATTTTAAAGAGCCGCTTTTCATATAACCCAATTCATATGGCTCAATTCACTAGCTGATGTGAGCAAAACAACAGCTTGTTAATACTCCACTTTCGAACTTTAGGCAACACTAATTAACTCTTTTAATAATATACAAGATGTGACCATATAGTCATGAAACTAATTCTACATCCCCTCCTCCTTTTCTTTCAGCCTCCCTCCCCTCCCCTTATCCCTTTCTGGCTTTAATGTCAGTGCCATTCGATCATTTATTGGTTCAATTTAATCATTCAACAAAAGATTTATTGAGAACTTTCTATATACCAGGCACTATGCTCTATAGTGAGAAATGTAACAACAGGATCTACCCTTACGGGTTTTACAGTCCCCTGAGGCAGGGGAGCATTACTTATAAAAACATATAATTACAAATGATACAAGGAGTGATGAGAATAGTAGGGGAATTTCACTTAGATTGGTAAATTCAAGGGAGGTTTCCCTGAGAAACTACCGTATTTCCCCACCTATAAGACACACCCTTTTTTGAAAAATTTGGGGTCTAAAAACTGGGTGCGTCTTACACAACGGCCGTGGATTTCAAATGCCATAGATGGAACTGAGGACGAGGCAATATATGAAGACAGTGATTCGTCATCAGACACAGATGAAGACAAGCTAATGGTTGGGAGTTTTGACAGTGATGAGGAGTTGTATGAATTTTATGATGAATAAAACTTGAGTTCAACAACTTCATGTAATACATGTTTTTTTTCAAATTTCAGGCCCCAAAATTAAGGTGCGTCTTATACATGGGAGCATCTTCTATATGGGGAAATACGGTAACTCTTGTGCAGAGATCTGAAGGCTGCAGAGAAATAAGGAGGTGAAGCCTGGGGAATTAGGTGGTGTTGGAGTGGGGAGTATTCCAGGCAAAGGAACAGCAGGAGCAAAGACCTAAGGAGAAGGGAACAAGGTCCTTTGAGGACCAAAAACAGGCCACTGTAGCTAGGACAGGGGGCCCTGGAGGCAGGAGAAGCCAGTATGGATAGGCCTTAAAGGCAAAATGAAGCAGTTTGGTCTTTATTCTAAAATAAAGACAATATTGTCAACACTCTCACACCCCTTTCGTATCACTCTTCACATCTTATAGTAATTAATTGTTTAATGTTTGTTTTCTCTATTTCAATTCTATAAGAATAGGAACCATGAATGTTCACTGCTGTAGCCTTAATGACTAGTGGATTGTCTAGTGCATGTTAGACTCTCAATAAAATATGCTGAGTAAATGAATGAATAAAGACCCTATATGGGGGCTGGCCAAGTGGTTCAGTTGGTTAAGAGCTCACTCAAGAGTGTGAGCTCTGAGCAACAGGGTTGCCGGTTGGATTCCCAGCCCCAGCAGAGCTACCGCTGAGTTGCCAACAGGTGGCAGGATGGCTCAGCTAAAAAAAAAAAGAAAAAAAAAAAAAAGACCCTATATGTATAAGATCCTATGTTAGATTCTCAAAATAAAAAATAAGTAAGGGATAGGCCTTTCTTTTAAAAAGCTGGTCATAAATTAACTATTATATATTACGTTTGATGTGTAATTAGGCTTCTATATAGATACAGCCTTAACAGTACCTGAAATTAATGAGCAATGTTCATCTCCAATATTATAGATACACATATATATATATATACACATTTTTAAATACCTGAAAAAGGTAAAACAGATATTTTTACTCTATAAATATATTATTTTTATAACATTGAGTAAATTCTAAGAATTACGAGTTATTGTTCATTTTTTTCTTTCTGTAAATACTTTTTTGAATTAAGAAAACATAAGAAGAGGCGGTTCCTCTTCCTACACCGACCATGGCTCAACCAGGGACTTTGAACCTCAATAACGAGGTTGTGAAGATGAAAAAAGAAGTGAAGAGAATCCGTGTTTTGGTTATCCGAAAACTTGTCAGGAGTGTTGGCAGACTGAAGTCAAAAAAGGGCACCGAAGATGCACTGTTAAAAAACCAAAGACGAGCACAGCGATTGTTGGAAGAAATTCATGCCATGAAGGAATTGAAACCTGATACAGTAACTAAATCTGCTCTTGGTGATGATATCAATTTTGAAAAAGTCTGCAAAAAGCCTGACTCTACTGCGACTGAGAGAGCGATTGCCAGATTAGCAATGCACCCTCTTCTGAAGAAAAAAATAGATGTGCTAAATAAAAGCTGCTGTCAAAGCCTTTAAAGATGCAAGACAGAATGATGCTGAAGTGGAGCCATCAAAGAAGGCTACAGAAAATCATTCCAAGGACACTTTGT